TAACACACACTAATAATAATAGACCTGCCTAATGCTTTTATATGGATCAAAATTTTTTGTATGTTCATGTTTTTGTCGCAGTGTCTGTGCGTTTGGTCATTTGTTTGTATCTTTCATTGTATATGTATGTTGTCGTTTGTTTTTTGGGTTTTTTAAGGGCCGTGGAGATATTTCCTGTCTCGTCGCTTTTTTGCGTGTTTATATATCTAAATACGTCTGCGTGTTTATATATTATAATCAGATTTTGTATGTATTGATTTTTGCAAATTTCATCCTCCCCTTCTCATGTTCTTGCTTGAAATGTATCTACGTTGTCATGAAGTTCAGAGCAGCATTGGATCTTAACGTTTCTTACAACTTAATAAAAACAAAATAAATAGAAAAACACGTATTTTTTTCTCGGTTTCTTTAAATAACTTTATAATTTTAAACTTAATATAGATTAAATTGAAATTGGTGTTTTTTTTTTATTTTAAATTTTATAGTATAATATAATATTATTAGTTAGAATGAATTCTAATTTAGTCTAACCCCAACATTAAAAGATTACATAATTGTTATAACCTTGAAGTCCGTTGTCAAGTTTTTTGTGTTCTGATATACTTGTATTTTGATTGGTCATTCCAGCTTATGTAAAAGCGTTCCCATTGCGTAGGGATGTTTGATTGATATGAAGCTTTTAAAACCCTTTATTCTACATTCAACATCATCACTAGATAAGACACTAGAATAGTTGAAACAAAATGCTATTTTTCGTAATGATTTTATAACATTTTTCTGTTACAATTTTCAAATAAACAATTATATTTGCAATATTCTGTATTGAAATACTCTTTTAAGAATATTATTTGTTGGTTATTGGAATTTATTCAGTATGCACCAATAATATATATATATATATATATATATATATATATATATATATATATATATATATATATAAACCTAGTGAGCCAGACAACCTGTATTAAGATTTAGTTGATTAAACTTACCGGCCTGAATATTCGAATAAATATGCGTTCTCCGACGGAATAGAAAATGTATTTCCATATGTACATCGCCATTTCATCTGACGTGCTATGATATGTGTGTATTTATGGGAATGGTTTATCAATATATATATATATATATATATATATATATATATATATATATATATATATATATATATATATATATATATTAATTTGATTAATTTGATTATTGGCAAATCAAAAATTCGAAGGTTTTTTCGGAGCGAGTATAGTTACCTATATATATATATATATATATATATATATATATATATATATATATATATATATATATATATATATATACAGGTGTCCATAGAATTCGTGTGCGCTTTAAATTTATAATTTTTAAAGTGCACACGTACTTTATGGGCTCCTGACACACATATATATATATATATATATATATATATTGATTACTAATATTTTATATATATATATATATATATATATATATATATATATTACTATATATATATATATATATATATATATATATATATGCAGCATCTTCAAAATGTGACGATCAGTTCAAGTTAATGTATTATTTTATTCATTTGTTATCACATTTCATTGATCTTCAAAAGCACCCACCATCATTTTGTTTGCCTTTGATCTCTTCTCATTGTTGACCACTTAACACCATAATTTATTGCTGTTAGATAAAACAGTGGCCGCATTATTTCACCAGTGGTCCGACTTATTCAAATATCACTTTTCGCTTTTGATTCATTTCTTCTTGGAATGTACACGCCACTCTCTAAACTCTGTTTTGACAGCGTTTGGTTACTTGCCATGGTATGTTACCAAAGTGTATTTGTCACAACCGTTACAATATATTGCCGAAAAAGAAAACCTACATTAACTGACTTGCTTAAAAACAAGCAGCAGAAGGTATGACAAACGAAATTTGTTGGATTGAAGCAAATAGTTTATAAGCTCTGTTGTTTTCTTCTGACGTTTATTTTAAACACCTGATTATTTATCTTATTGTTCTTTCTTTATATATATATATATATATATATATATATATATATATATATATATGTGTGTGTGTGTGTTTATGTGTGTGTGTGTTGTCTTTATTGATGGGATATTTATATATATATATATATATATATATATATATGTGTGTGTGTGTGTGTGTGTGTGTGTGTGTGTGTGTGTGTGTGTGTGTGTGTGTAAATCCAATGATGAAAACATTTATGTCCTTATCTCCGCTATATTTATTTTGTTTGAGTGTGTGTCTGATGTTGTATGAAATCAATTAATCGGCTGCCCAGTTTGTATATCCCCAATGAAGGGAAGAATGACTTGTAATTTACCTCACCCCCACCCTCTATAAAAACAACATGTTTTATTTCGCCGCCTTTTATAGCCTGAATAGTACACCCCCTAACGGTATCAAACGAAGTCCAATTGCAAACAAGATGAGGTAGCCTCCACCAATCTGTGTCTGATCTTATATTTAGAACACATGTAGTGATTCGCGTTTCGCTTTGGATGGAGGATTTTCTGATTACAAATACACATAATCTTACAAGGAGCAAATGATTCCTATTTGATGTTTTATGCACGCAGTCGACTATGTATAAATATATCCCATGTTAAGTGTTCGTGTAAAATTATGTGTAAGTAGTAAAATATTAATTTGACGATTAAGTATTTACACTGGAACTACACATAGGGAGAAAATATTTTTAAAAATCCAAATGAATTTATTTTATAATTATTTGGCGATAAAATAAGTCCTGCTAATTAATGATACATGCAACAGAATGGAAGATATAGAAATATTAGGTTGGTGCAAAATAATGACGTTTTCTCACATATGTTACTATGTGAGAAAACGTCATTATTTTGCACCAACCTAATATATCATGTTTCTGAAATACGGCACAATAATTCCCAGGTTGCGACAGTGTAGACCTACAACGATTTGTGGTTACGACCCAGTCTCCATTAATCTTGATTCGACATATTTCGTTTGCCTCGTACATAAGGCAACGTGGGCAGTTACTGACTGTACGCCATATCATATTATTGTGCATTCGCTCCTTTCGTTCGTGTTGTGTTAGTGGCAATATATTGCCCTTTATTATGGGTCGCAAACGTAGTGTAATCTCTTCTCATTAGGATGCTTCGAAGGAAAAGAATGTCATCAACATGGAAGTGAAATTAGACATTGTTAAACGCTCTGGAAAGGGAGAAACAGTGACGGACATTGCCTGTCTGCTAGTCTTAAGTCGTTCGACTGTCGCATAAAACGTGCTATTGTATACATATTGAGTTTTCTTGTAAGAGATAAGGACATTTTCTCATTAAAGTATAAGTCTGTGAATTCCTGATAAAAAATTAAGCTAAACAGACACGTTTTTCTTCTTTCTTCTCCAGATGTGCTGCTGTTTCCGAGTATTGCAAAGTAGACAAGATTTATATGTTTCGTTATATTATCTACATGTAATAAATATACATGCAGTTTGAAACAATTTAATTTCTTTGTATGTGTCATGAATAATCAAAAGTGGTCTCCCCTTGTTTTGTTACTCTCCTCTTTGAGAGAGCTATTTCTGTTTACTGGGGATATAAAAGACCACTATACGCGAACCTCGTATCCGCAGTTGAATAAAGCTTGCTTAAAGTCTACACCTGCATAATTTTGTCATTACAATATATATTATATTTATGTCATCCATGTGTTTTTAGTCCTAATTAAGTTAACATATGTCAAAGGAATTCTTCGATATATCCTTGATTAACACTTTACTATCTCGTTAGTAAAGATGAGTGATGTAAGCGCTGATTCACAGAAAATTGTGGGTACGTTCAAACTTATAAGGAAAATCGCGATACGACGCATTTTAAGAACAGAACTCTGTCGTAAGTCGAGGACCTCTTTATATAAAGAATAGGGGATGCATGATTGATGATGTTTAGAATAAAATATAGGATGGATATTATTCGTCTTAAGAACGGAATAGATCGTGTAAGATTTGTGCTGTCACTACCAGACCGTCAGCAGCTTACTAAACTAGCAGTCCTAAGAGAAGAGTACTCTGGAATTCAGAATACACACCAAAATAATTGGTAAAATGTTTAAAAAATAGTATCCCGATTATCAGAATGAAAGTGTCTTGAGTGATTTCTGCCCAGCCCTGGGGAACAGCTGCCCGTGGCCGCGAAATCTCATTGCACCAGAAAGTGGTATCGGTACTGGGACTAAGGCCAGCGCAACCGACGGTTGCGGGGTCTGAGGGGGAATTTTTTTGTTCCTGTTCCGGGCGTACGCGCTCGGGTCCCACCTAGAAATAGACCTTCTGTCACATCTCGTCCTAGTGGGAGAACAGAGTAAATACCGTGTAAATTACTCTTTTTGAGTAGTTTCTCATTTACTTATCATCTCTCAGTTGCGTCTCTGTCTTTGGGCAGAGAGCGCCCAGGGGTTTCTCTGTCAAAGGACAGAGAGGCAACTGAGGAAAATAATACTGAAGAGGTGCCCCGCCCTGGGGAAGAGTTGCCCGAGTCCACGCCCTCCCATTGCACTAGAGGAAGCGATCGGTGCTCGTGCCGAGGTCAGCGCAACTGACGGTTGCGGGGGAGAATTTTTTTTCCCGGCCCTGACGTGCGCGCTCGGGTACCCATCTAAAAGTAAACCTTGTGTCATATCTGGTCCTAGTGGGCGGACTGAGTAAATACTGTCTTGAGTGATTAGATAGGACTAGAACTACGCGCTTAAGAGTTATATTGCAATAAAGTTGTAAATCTCGATTCAGGTAAAGACATCTGTGATCACAAAACAACGAAAATATACTAAATTAATGAAATGCTGTGTTTCTTTATCAACATTGTGGGTCTGAGTTTCATTATATGGGCCTCTAAATTAAGTAAAGAATTATCAAATATAGTGAAGGCGAGTGATCAGATAGAGAGGAGGCAAGTGATAAAATATAGAAGAGGCGAGGATACGGGTAGTGAGAAAGCTAGTTATCAAAGAGAGAGAAAGCGAGTAATTAAATAGAGAGTAGGTGAGTAATAAAAAAGAGACGAAGCGACTAACGAAATATAGAGAAAGCGAGTAATCAAAAAAAAAAAGAAAGAAAGAAAAAGACAAGCAAACAGAGAGTAAGGCAAGTAATCTAATAGGGAGAAGGCAAGTGAGCAAATAGCGAGAAAATAAGTAACAAAATAGAGAGTAAGCGAGTAAGCAAAAAGAGAGAAGGCGAGTAACCAAATAGAGAGAAGGTGAATGACCAAATAAAGTCGAGTAACTAGAGAGTAAGTCAAGTAATTAAATAGAGAAAAGGCGAGAAACCAAATAGAGACAAGGTAAATAAAGAGAAGGTGAGTAACTAGAGAGTAAGTCAAGTAATTAAATAGAGAGAAGGCGAGAAACCAAATAGAGACAAGGTAAATAAAGAGAAGGTGCGTAATTAAAAGAGAGAAGGCGAGAAACCAAATAAAGACAAGGTAAATAAAGAGAAGGTGAGTAACTAGAGAGTAAGGTAAGTAAATAGAAAGTAAAATAAAGAATTAAAGAGAGAACTAGAAGTAAGCGAGAAACCAAATAGAGACAAGGTAAATAAAGAGAAGGTGAGTAACGAGAGAGTAAGTCAAGTAATTAAATAGAGAGAAGGCGAGAAACCAAATAGAGACAAGGTAAATAAAGAGAAGGTGAGTAACTAGAGAGTAAGTCAAGTAATTAAATAGAGAGAAGGCGAGAAACCAAATAGAGACAAGGTAAATAAAGAGAAGGTGAGTAACTAGAGAGTAAGTCAAGTAATTAAATAGAGAGAAGAAACCAAATAGAGACAAGGTAAATAAAGAGAAGGTGAGTAACTAGAGAGTAAGTCAAGTAATAAATAGAGAGAAAGGCGAGAAACCAAATAGAGACAAGGTAAATAAAGAGAAGGTGAGTAACGAGAGAGTAAGTCAAATAATTAAATAGAGAGAAGGCGAGAAAAAATAAAGACAAGGTAAATAAAGAGAAGATGAGTAACTAGATAGTAAGTCAAGTAATTAAATAGAGAGAAGGCGAGAAACCAAATAGAGACAAGGTAAATAAAGAGAAGGTGAGTAACTAGAGAGTAAGTCAAAAATAGAGAGAAGGCGAGAAACCAAATAGAGACAAGGTAAATAAAGAGAAGGTGAGTAACGAGAGAGTAAGTCAAGTAATTAAATAGAGAGGCGAGAAACCAAATAGAGACAAGGTAAATAAAGAGAAGGTGAGTAACCAAAAGTAAGTCAAGTAATTAAATAGAGAGAAGGCAGAAACCAAATAGAAACAAGGTAAATAAAGAGAAGGTGAGTAACTAGAGAGTAAGTCAAGAATTAAATAGAGAGAAGGCGAGAAACCAAATAGAGACAAGGTAAATAAAGAGATGGTGAAACTAGAGAAAGTCAAGTAATTAAATAGAGAGAAGGCGAGAAACCAAATAAAGACAAGGTAAATAAAGAGAAGGTGAGTAACTAGAGAGTAAGTCAAGTAATTAAATAGAGAGAAGGCGAGAAACCAAATAGAGACAAGGTAAATTGAAACTAGAGAGTAAGTCAAGTAATTAAATAGAGAGAAGGCGAGAAACCAAATAGAGACAAGGTAAATAAAGAGAAGGTGAGTAACAAGTAATTAAATAGAGAGAAGGCGAGAAACCAAATAGAGACAAGGTAAATAAAGAGAAGGTGAGTAACTAGATAGTAAGTCAAGTAATTAAATAGAGAGAAGGCGAGAAACCAAATAGAGACAAGGTAAATAAAGAGAAGGTGAGTAACAAGATAGAGACAAGGTAAATAAAGAGAAGGTGAGTAACTAGAGAGTAAGTCAAGTAATTAAATAGAGAGAAGGCGAGAAACCAAATAAAGACAAGGTAAATAAAGAGAAGGTGAGTAACTAGATAGTAAGTCAAGTAATTAAATAGAGAGAAGGCGAAAACCAAATAGAGACAAGGTAAATAAAGAGAAGGTGAGTAACTAGAGAGAGTCAAGTAATTAAATAGAGAGAAGGCGAGAAACCAAATAGAGACAAGGTAAATAAAGAGAAGGTGAAACGAGAGAGTAAGTCAAGTAATTAAATAGAGAGAAGGCGAGAAACCAAATAGAGACAAGGTAAATAAAGAGAAGGTGAGTAACTAGATAGTAAGTCAAAATTAAATAGAGAGAAGGCGAGAAACCAAATAGAGACAAGGTAAATAAAGAGAAGGTGAGTAACTAGAGAGTAAGTCAAGTAATTAAATAGAGAGAAGGCGAGAAACCAAATAGAGACAAGGTAAATAAAGAGAAGGTGAGTAACTAGAGAGTAAGTCAAGTAATTAAATAGAGAGAAGGCGAGAAACCAAATAGAGACAAGGTAAATAAAGAGAAGGTGAGTAACTAGAGAGTAAGTCAAGTAATTAAATAGAGAGAAGGCGAGAAACCAAATAGAGACAAGGTAAATAAAGAGAAGGTGAGTAATAAAAAAGAGAGAAGACGATTAATGAAATACAGCGAAAGTGAGTTACAAAATAAAGAGAAGACGAGTAATCAAATAGAGAGAAAGCGAGTAATCAGAGATAAGGCGAATAAACAGATAGAAAGCGGGTAATCTAATAGAGAGAAGGCGAAAAATCAAACAGCGTGAAGGCGAGTAATCAAACAGAAGGCGAGTGATAAAATAGAGAGAAAGTGAGTAATTTCTTTTTAAAAGGAGTTTCCCCGCTTAAAATTTTCTGCTAGTATTTAGCGAACCCCTGAAAATTTCAGGAATAAGAGAGCAAAATAATAGAGATGCCTCTCCCTTACTTTCTCTCTCCCTTACTAACAATTATTCGGTAGAATGTCGCTTAACGAAGACAATTAATTCAAACAATATGGGTTGTGATAAAACCAGAAGAAGACTGCGTCCTTCTGTTGAAAGTATATCTAATTTGACTTTCGGCAAGAAGCAGAACAAGTTTAACTGTAGTACATTGTCCCAAGAAAGCAATCAAAAGGAACGTGGCGACGCAACCGAATCTTTGCACATCAAGATAACATTATTCAAATACATTTTCGGGCCACGGCGTATATGAGAAGCTTAGTATGACGAAGTTATTTAAGAAGAGATCTCGTGTTCACAGGTTAATATTTAAATTTAATTAAATTTCAATGTTTCCGGAGGACAGCGGGTCTTGTATATTAGATAGGAAATGCTGGCATATTTGCTCAGGAGTAATACAAGTAATTCTGGTGAAATATAAATTGAAATTATTTTACTTTTCCTATACATATATAAATTGAAAGAAAATAATATCATTGCCGAAGGAAACTTATAAACGAAAATATATTACGGTGGTCATCTGGATAAGTCTAAAATTTTTTGATTATTTTTACATTTTTTTTATATCTGTTATGCATGATTTCCAGTTCGTTTAACAAGTTCTAAACAATATTCTATATAGGTCTGTGTTGTCGGATCAGTGATTAAAAATATAGTCAATAGAATAAAAAGTTTAAGTTTCAAAGACGACATTCCTTCATGAGACTTCATAGACTGTTGATAAAGAATCTGAAACAAAGAACTAAAGGGTAGTTTACTTGAATAGGAAGGGAAGACAACGGTTACCTCTGGACATGAACAGGTTCATGGGATCGAGGAAACATCTTCTTAGGTTCGCGGGAAATAGCTGTTCGATTGGAGCTTATTTCACGCCGATGGAATATGGCTGAAATGGGGGTGGTTTGCTGCTATGTAATGACATTCGAGTCCAAGTCGTGAAAGTTTGATTTGAGGGAACCAATGAATGAAGTTCTTCCGAGCACTTTCCATAGAAGTAGCGATAAAGCAGTGAGAGACTTGCCACATCCCGCCTGTGTGTATGTGGGAGAGAGAGAGAGAGAGAGAGAGAGAGAGAGAGAGAGAAAGAGAGAGAGAGAGAGGGAGGTTGGATTGTGAAAAAATAATCTTTTTATATAATCTTTTTTATCGAGACAGGAAAGTGCGGATTGGACAGCTTCCGCCCAAATATGGCAAGAGTACTCCATTTTCGGCGTGATCTGGTTCTAATAATTGTAGAGGATAGCCTGAGTTATCAGGTACATACTGCAATGGTAAAGAGAGCCAATTATTTTATCTGCATCTTTAGAGGTGGATGTATATAAGATTTTTAAAAGATCGTGTGTGAGTTTGACACACAATATCATCTCGAGGCACGGGGCCACCTCGAATAGACATCCGTTCAACGAGACTGGCGGTAGTTCGTGGCCTGATCGGCGATGATGGAATATAACCAGTTTGGTTTTCGAGGCTTTGAATATAGCCAGCCAGATTTTCCCCACTGGATCGAAAGTGAGGCCATCTGCCAATCTCTGATCATCAAGATTTTTAGAGGTTCGCCCGTATATCGTCGTGTCATCGGCACAGTCATTTACAAATGATCTGAGAATATTCTGAAGCAGATAAGTTATGTAAATCAGAAAGATTTTTTTTTCGAGAAGTGACCCCTGGGGATATCTCAATGAATACTTAAAAATAAAAACAGCAAAAGCTAAAATATTCAGTACATATAACTAGCTGAAAATATTGACTTTCCTTTCTCAAACAAAAGGTTAGAATGCCAACTCTCATCAGTAAGAGAAATAGAAGAATAATCCTCTTAACCTTTGTAGAGAAATATTTTATAAATTTCATTGATTAATTCGTTTTCTACGGCTTACCAACCTTTTGCAGGTTCTTTAAAGCCTGAAAATATTTTTAGATTATAAGAATTTTTTTTTGCTTTAGATAATAATCTTTGAATGATATACGTTTTGTTTATTAACCCATAGATAGGGAGAGAAGAGGTAGGATCCATACCATTCCCATAAATGGATATAACGAACCCAATTGGAATTGGAACTCGTCTCTCAGATAAAACATTCCTAGGTATTATCCATTATACTATTCGGAAATACAAACTTGTAGAACTTGCTATTCCCCAGCGGTCACCTATCTAGTCTTGAGGTTGATTAATTTCAATGATTTTACGAGAACCGATGCTTCAACATGATGTGTCCGTAAGCCGTATAAATTTCATTCGGCAGTAATGCTAATTGTTCGGTCAATGAATGTCCCCTATATATAAACGATGAATTTGACCATTATCATTGTCTTAATACAAGACTTTGAGTTGTTCTAGATACGGAAAGGACACAGAAAATATAATTAAATACAGAATATTACCAGGAAATATGTGATGTTTGGCAACTATAATTATCGGGTAATCTATAATTTTCCGTGTATCCAATAAGATCGTGCATTGCAAAAAGTGTCAGATATTCATGTTTAACTTTAAAGCAATACCCGAATTAATGAGAAACTTATGATTTCCTGCTTTGCTAAAATTTTTCATACGTTTTTTGTCGCTCAATTGTATTAGGAATATGATTGTAAATTCAGTAAAGATATTGCTTTTATTAATTCTTTGACAGCTGTCATATGCGCGCGCATTTAAAAAAGAAAACTTTGTCAAAATTGGCGTATTTGTATTTATTGATTTAGACATTGAAGTTAAAAAGAAATGCAGACAACATTTTCGATAGATTATGATTTTTATTCTGTTTTATTCCAAAGAATGTAAGAATATGATTCAAATGTTAGTGAATATGCAGTTTACGTATAAAATGAGCCAGGTTAAAATCCGTTTAGTACTGGTTATTCCACGTCTTGGCTTCTGCCGGGAAGGTTAAATCTTAATATTAGCACAATACCTAATCCCACCTCCAGATGGTATCTCGGCTTCGGAAGGGGGCTGGGGTCATTACCCGGCGCTCGAGGTGTCCCGCAAATTGGGAAATGCAGAATGGGCTTGGACAATTTTACCACGGTATTGCCGGTAAACTGACATTAAGTCACAACTTCTTGTAAAATCCATCTATGATAACAGTAGATTCATTACTGTATTTTATTTTTATACGTTATCAATATATGCACAAATATTTAAGTAAATTCTCTGTTTATAATCAACAGTATTAACAACATTTATCTGCCTAAAACGCCTGAGAAATGGACGAAGTCCGACAATTATTTTAATATATTTTATTGTTATACGTTACTTATATGGACACGAATATTTAAGTAAATGCTCTGTTTATAATAAACAGTATTAACAATATATACCGGCCTGAATGCCTGATAATTTTCAGAGAAAATAAGCGTCCTCCGACAGGAATCGAACCTGCATCCTACCCGGAACCATCATATAGCCTGACTTGTAGGCTACATGTCGTGTATAACGGAGCCTGCATCCGTGTAGTATGCAGATTCGATTCCTGTCGGAGGACGCATATTTTCTATGAAGTTTCTCGGACATTCAGGCCGGTAAATGTTGTTAATACTGTTTATTATAAACAAAGTATTTACTTAAATATTTATGTCCATATAAATAACGTATAACAATAAAATATATTAAAATAAATGTCGGTATTAGTCCATTTCGTAGTGTGTATATTCATTGAGTAGATGCGCCATGAAGAGTCTGAACATTATTTCTGTCAGTATCTTCTCGATTAAATCTCTTATTGCAAGACGTTTGCGTCATTTACTAAATTCATGGAAATATACTCAACGAAGTGAGCAACTCTGTATTTTCATCAAGAGGTAGCGAAAGGTTAACTTTAGCATATTGGTACCAAGCAAGCAATTAAAATGAACGTGACGATGCAACCGACTCTGTCCACTTCAGGACAATGAAAACATAATCCAAACAACTTTTCGAACGTATATGATAATCTAGATATGAAGAAACTATTTAAGAATAGAACTTATGTTCTCTGTTTAATATTTAAATTTAATTAAACTTTTCAATGTTTCCGGGGGATAGCTAGTCTTGTATATTAGATAGAGAGTTGACATATTTGCTCAGGAGTAATACAAATAATTCTTCTTAAATATGAATTGAAATAATTTTTATTTTTCCTATACATATATAAAACGAGAGAAAATAATATCACTGGTGAAAAAATATATACTAAAAATATTTTCCGGTTGTTATTAGTGTTGAGTCTAAAATTTTGTAATTATTTTAAAATTTTATAACTGTCATCCCTGTTGTCTAAATGAATCATTAATTTAAAACTATAAGCTATATAGAACAGTTTTGTTAAATCAATGAGTAAAAATGACGTCAAGGGAATAAATATTCTTATTCTTAATGGAGATAATACTTCATCCGACCTCATAGACTGGTGCTAAAATATCTCAAACAATCGTCACAGAATATGAAACATATATTTTAAGTTAATTCATGGAAAAAAGTTTCAGCGATAAAATCGGTTACATTTAGATTATGTGAATTGGTAGATGGGCAGCTTACACTCAACATTTTAGTCCAGGCTGAGCTGCAATAATCATTTTAATTTCGTTTATCAGTGCGGCTATCTCTCTCTCTCTCTCTCTCTATCTATCTATCTATCTATCTATCTATATATATATATATATATATATATATATATATATATATAGTGTCCCACAAAAAATAGCAAATTTGGTAGAGTTACTTTAATTGATGGAGTTTTTGTTACAGTTATTTCAAACACAAGCAAGACAGAAATTTAGTAGCTTCAAATATAACAAAATGTATATTTATTTTACTTAATTTTTTTGATCATATATTAATTCTAATATTTCCAGGTTTTTATAGGGCACTATATATATATATATATATATATATATATATATATATATATATATATATACACGAACACGCACATACAGACTGCGATTAGTGAATTGTTGCCATTTCAAAGTTTTTATTTAGCGCATGCGCGTTGTTTGTTTTTGATTTTGTCGACTGAACTGTATTGTAGGTTCAGTTGGGCGTCGTCTATGAGAAAAAAAAAATAGTAACACGACCCAATTCACTTCGCCAGAAATTTGGAAAAGGTATGCTATATTACTTGACATTCGTGCCGGAATCTGCAACACGAAGATTTCAGAATGTTTAGGTATCAATCTGATCTTAGTGCAGATGATTCGCAAACTGTCGGATCAATCTAATGGTTTATTACGAAAGTACAGTAAAACTCATTCTGGTCTTTCTGATGAGAAAATAACTCCTGAATTTGTTTTTATGTTCCCCAGTCTCAACTCAGACGCCTACATCAAGTGACTTGAGGAGGTAGTGCTGACCTGGATCAATGGGTGGCTGCTGGACAACTCTATGTGAGTCAACTAGACAATGTCCCATGCCGCACAAGCAGGAGAACACTGTCATGGCTACCAGACAATTTCTGCGACCTCAACACTCTTTACAACTGGACACCTAATTCCCCAGACTG